AGGAATTCTTGGCATGCTCTTTCATTACCTCATTTTTAGTTTGTTAGTTATGTAAAGACTTGAAATGTTCTGTTTCAGCATTCTTTTGAGTGCCTGCTGGTTTAAAAAAGTAGCAGGTCCTTTTAGTGGATGTGTATACAGTGTACCAGATGTCCACAGAAATAAAAGACTGCATTATAATGGTGTACAATAAAATTAAGTTTGAGATGGCAAACTTGCTCATGAGTGAATAAGATGGATCATCTCAATGAGTGGCAATGAAATGTGTCTAGCACAGAAAATATGGCTGTTTAGATTAAATTAGGTCAGAAAGTTAAAATTCACAAGTAGTCTTGGTCAAAATGGATTACTGGACTGAGTGAAGTTGGGCAGGTTAAAGGAATATGACATGCAACTTGCTGTATAGTTCGGTGATTTGTGCCACACATAATGACACATACATTAACTACAGTTGGGTTCACTGGCATTGTGGGTTGTAGTCTGAGCTCTGCCATTCCATTGCTCTGCAGCTTTCAGTAAGTTATGCTTTCTTTTGTACTTGTGCCAGTACACCATAGTTTCATAGTTGGTAGGGTCGGAAGGGACCTGAGCAGATCATGAAGTCCGACCCCCTGCCATGGGCAGGAAAGAGTACTGGGGTCAAATGACCCCAGCAAGGTGTTCATCTAGCTTCCTTTTAAAGACCCCCAGGGTAGAAGCGAGCACCACTTCCATTGGAAGTTGGTTCCAGATCCTAGCTGCCCTGACTGTGAAGTAGTGCCTCCTGATGTCTAGCCTGAATCTACTCTCCATCAACTTATGGCCGTTATTCCTTATTACTCCCAGTAGTGCTCAGGGGAACAGGGACTCTCCCATTGCCTGCTGGTCTCCCTTGGCCAGTTTATAGATGACCACCAGATCCTGTCTCAGCCTCCTCCTGTGGAGGCTGAACGGGTGCAGGTATCACAGCCTCTCCTCATAGGGCCTGCCCAGCTGCCTCCAATCATGCAAGTGGCCTTCCTCTGGACACTCTTGATGTTGTCCACATCCCTCCTGAAGTGCAGTGCACAGAACTGGATGCAGTACTCCAACTGCAGCCTCACCCGTGTCATCAACCTTTATTTGCTGTAGTTCCCAGCTCATAAGGCCTTCACTTTTGCAAACTGCTTGAGGGCATATTAATGAAAAGTGCTAGTTTGCTATGAGTGGTTATCCATATGTGTTTTCTTTAGTGGGTGTGTATTTACTTCCTAGGCTTGATCTTGGAAGTATGGGGCATGCAGGTATTCCAGCATCACATAGTTGTTGTTTAGATTTATATCCTGCCTGATCCAAAAAGGCTCAGAGGAACGTACAGTAACAAGCAACCCACAAGATAAGAATCAACAACAGACTTGCCAATCAACACCCTAAAACTTTAAAATGTACCTCATCTCACCCACTCCCTCTTCCCTGCCTGTCACCCAAAAGAGCAAACCCTCCATCTCATCCCAGCTATATCTTCTAGCTCCCATTCACACATGGAAGTATACAAAACCTTGTCTCACCTCCCCACTTCCCATTCTCACTCCACTGCCTCACACCCAGGGGGCTCTCCCACTGCCAGTGAACCTCCCAAGTCTGCAGACCCTCTCCTACAGAGGGTCTGTAGCTGTACCCAAAAAATGAGTCCTGCCCCCCCCCACAGCAAACACAACATTAATTTAAAACTATAACAGTGTCACAGCCAAAAGACACTCCATTCCTGCTTCCATTCCCACCTAACAACGATGTCATAAGGCACTCTCAAGTGTTGACTTTTGGGAGTGCCTGCCTGACTATCTGTCTAGAGAAGCAGGTGGCTCTGCAGGTCCACCAAGTCTTTCTCCTTCAGTACAGGTGACCAGAATGATACTTGGATAGGTCCTGGCTCTGCCCCAGAGGGGACGGAGTGAGGGCAGCAGTACCTTGAGGGCACAGAGGGCAGTGCATGCTCATACTTCTCAGTTTCCTCTTCATTACCTTTGGGCTGTAGACAGAGCCGTCTGCTATCCATCAGTCCATAGTTCTTTCCTCTTTATGGCTTGGAGTTAATCAATTTTATTGAGAACGCTTTGTATTTATTTAGAGTTCATATTATCTTTTCTGTTGCCCACTGGAACATTTTGTTCGTATTGGCTCAGCATTCTACAAAGTTGGGGCAAACAAGGTCATGCTCTGAGTCTCAAAGCCAGTCTTTT